CGAATACAATTGTTATTATTAAAAAATAACCTTTTTGTTACTTTTTTAAAAATATTCAGAAATAAAATAAAAAATATACAGGGTGAATAAAAAGTATGGAACCAAGCGGTTTTATTTTTAATCATTTGCCTCCGGAAAATAAATAAATAATATATATAAAAATAATATAAATTAAAGTAATATAAAAAATGTGATCGTAATTTCAGAACGAAATTTTGTTTTGTTTTTGAGTTATGCGATTTTTTTTTGGCAAAATTGCAATTTATGTGAAAAAATTTTTTTGAAAAAATTAAAAATAAAGCAGACAGTTGTAATCCTTAAAGTATAGCTTTTATGAGAAAAATGATTTTATAGTGGGTTGCCATTTAAAAAATTAATTTTTTTGTAGGACTCAAAAATAAAAGGAAATTTCGAAAAATTTTATTCTTGTTAAATCATCGCATTTTTATAGTACTTTAGCACTCATCAATTACTTTTTTCAAAAAATAAATAGTTTAAGCAAAAAACGTTTGGTTCCATACTTTTTATTCACCTGGTATAAAATGTCATTAAAAAAATAATGTAATCCTTGATATATTAAGACACTAAAATTGAATTTTTTATCACGAATATGGAGTATTCTCCGAGGCGATAGCCGAGTAAAAATTTGAAATATTATAGCAACCTGTCACTTTACGAAAGTGTTCAATAATGACATAATTTTTTTCCAGGTCTCCCGAACAAATGCCTGCCGTTGGACTTTATGGGGTACTACGCCCTCGCAGGTCGCGAGACCGAATCTCGATTACGTACATCTATCAAAAACTACATGGTGGCCGATATAAATCGACGTCGAGATTATGTTAAAACATTGACAATGGGTGCAGGCCAAGCCGACAAAGCTATGAGTCAACTGCCTTTTATCCTCCCCGACTATATGTTAGTCTTCGCAGTGCCGATTTTGGCCCATGATCCGGCATTGAGTCGCTGGGACGACGTCCAAGACTTAATCAGAGCCAAACAATGTTTGTGGTTCATTCTCGAACCATTGGTGACAAAAAGCGACTATTTTAGTTACGGATTTTACAAAAGTCTCATCGAAAGGATGAAAAATCACAAAGATGCCGTTCGACCGGACGACGACAGTATAAATTATAAAATTTGGGCGTTGTGTGACCTCGCCTCGGGGCTATTATTGACAAAAACGACGAATTATGACTTGAAAGATTTCCCGACAGAGACCCGAATTCCGACGATGTATTTCGCCCCACAGCCCGATTTTGTCAATACTCGGGTGTTTCTCCCACCCGAATTGCAGTACCAACCTAACAAAAAGACCAATATTACGTTGTCGATGTTAAATGCGGAGAAACAAGCGAAGAAAAGTAAGGTAAAGAGCAAAGTGGAAGGATGTGGACCGTTGGGGACGGACGTGCAGGTGAGTTGAGGCTCAGTTTTGCAGTGGGTGCCAGTCGGTATGAAATGTCCCTAGATCTAGGGGATTTTGTGCGTCTGGTAACCCTGCCGTTTTGGTGTGTTTTACCCAGTTTCTTGTGCATAGCTTACGTTTACTGGTGGGATTGATGCCCAGGTATGTGAGGGGGGTGTGCGAGGGGCGCAGTCAGGGTGTCATTGATTGGGTTTGTTGTTTCAGCCGTCGGAGGCGTCCGAGACGAAGATCCAGTTGCCGGGCTTGGAGGAGGATATTGATGAGCCCCCCGTGAAGAAGATGAGGGAGAGGATAAAACTGGATGTGGACAAGTGAGTGAGGTGTAAATAGTGTGCGATGGATCTCCTCCGGAAACAATGCTTGATTTACTTAGTCTTTGTGTTTTGTGACTAGTTTTTACCACCTTCCAACACACGTTTTGTTCTTTTATTTTTAGATTTATGTTAAGGTTAGCTTTTTACGTGAAATTCACACAACAGTTTTAGTGTTAGAGAGAGAGAAGAGTTATTTTTGTAAGCTGGTGTGAGACCATTCCAGGTGCAGTTGGCAGGCCTGAGTCAGGTCTTGGGTGTTTCAATGCTTCGTTCCGTTTCTAGCTGTAGCAAGGTGTAAAAACTTATCCGGATTTTGAATCACAACTTTGTAATTTGCCCAATACATAAGATTGATAGAAAGTGGTTGTTTATTTTTTTGGTATACATTTTCTACTAAATACGTTGTACTAAACTGTGTTACAATTCAATAAACATTGTCTACAATTCATTTTATATTGGGGAATTTCGATAACAACACATTTATTTGTCTGTGAGACAACTTCTTTTCACCTGGAGTCAGTATTCCCTTAGCTTCCCGTTCCTTCTTCACTTTGGTTTTCTCGAGGTGGTTCATGTAACACTGCTGGAAGGCTGTCATTTCCTTACCACAGGGGGCCTGGTTGAAGTCATTGTTCTTGAAACAGGCCAAAAGGACCGACATCTCGTAGATGCAACACACATCGGACGTCTTGTCCCCTTTCCCGGACACTTTAGCTTTGAGTTTCAAGGGGAGGATTTCCTGAAAGGGGACGGGCTCTCTGGGGTTGCCACGTGCGGCGAATAGCGCTGCAGCGGCCCTCATTTTAAGGGGGCCAAAAGTGAGGTTACGTACACGGCAACCTGACCAACTAAAATTCCCTCAAAATTGGTAACGTTGTCGACTTAAGGGGAATTCTAGCGCTTTTAACACAAGATAACGCAGATAAACTCAGGTTAACGCAAGTTGTGACGTCATGACCAGAATCACCAACAAGAAACGATAAAATGTCACAAATAACTAGAGAGAAAAAAACTAAAAGTGACAGGTAATTACTGCCAATTGTTATTATTTTTTATTATTAATTTTTGTCAAAACACTATGTTATAATTAATGATACCTAAATGTCTGCAAGTACATGCGGACAATACGATCTGGGCAGTGATTTGACATTTTGCAACTTTTTTTATGAAATTGTGGTACGATGAACGATTCGTTCAATAGTTTATTATTTTTTCATGAGAATGCTTTATATTGATTGTAAAACACTAATAACTCAGCAAATTAATACCAGCTAATGGGTGGTTTGCACTTATTATATATATTAAGTCAACAGACTGAACTTTTTGTTCCATTATCTTTGAGCGCAATGGTAATTTGAATAAGACGTTTTGCCGCTACTATCCGATGGTGACAAACTAGAGAAAAAACACAACAGATTAAAAAAAGAGAGCGACTAAAATGACAAAGAAAAACTGCGTTTTAAGTGAGAGAGCCTGACATAGATAACCCATTAACCTAAGTCGGACTTGGGTTAACTTGCGTCTTCTCTGGTCTTCTCGCATAAGGTTTGCCAACTGGATCAAATTAAAATTACTATTAGGGATAAAAATCCCAACAACTTCAAAGATATTTTTCAAAAAAAATTATTTTTTTAGTATTTAAACAAATTGTGCTTGACATTATTTATCTCTATATAGAGATTTTCTTTAGGCAAGGGAGCAATATCCCAAAGTAACGTAATAAACGTGATGTCTTTTGGTTCTAGTATTCCCTCTGATAAGGAAAATAAGTTTCCTGTTTGAAAAAATGGTTTAGTTTGTCGTAAAAAAGAGAAAACCATTTTTCAAGTCCACTTGGCTGTAGATCCCATTTTTTCATTAAAGTTGGGTGATTTTGCACAAAGCGTGCAAATCTTTGGGATCTTGTGCTAATATCTAGATTTATATAATTCCTATCATAATATTCAATAAATCCTCGAAGTTCTATAAACCCTTGTCTTTCGAGTTTTTCATAATTTAATTCGGCCTACAAAATAACAATGACAATTCATTTTAAATTAATTCCTAACAAAAAACCTACCAAAGCGTTTTCTTTTGCATTTAATTGCACTTGCAAAACCTCGATTTGTTTTTTAGCTTCAGTGAGTTCCACTTGTGTTTCCTGGAGCTGTTGTTTGAAGTAGAGAACAACGCGTTCCTCTGGTGTCAGTTTATTTAATTTATTTGCGTATAATTCTTATTCCTGAAAATATATAATTTTTTTGTTATAATTCATAAACAACTAAAGAACTTACCATTATTGGCACAGACTCCAAACCACAGCTCCATACAAAATGAACTCTGAGTCTCTGAAAGCAGATGACAATTGACAGCTGACGCTTCGATACAGTCGGAGAAATGTACCAACCTAACAAATAAAATCCCCATAATTGGTACCACGTGTTCGAACATAACCTTTCTTTTTCCAGCCATCTTGGAAGCTTGTTTGTCGTGATAATTTAGCGAATTTTCTTGATTTCGAGACATGGCCAAGTCGAAGAATCACACAAATCACAACCAGAGTAAGTTTGGGGTTGATTTAGTAATAATTTTGCACAATTTGGGTTTTTTTTCCAGACCGCAAGGCCCATCGTAATGGGATCAAAAAACCGAAGCAGTTCCGTCACGAATCGACCCTTGGGGTGAGAAATCTTGGTTAATTTGAGTCCATTTAAGTGTAATTGTGGTGTTTCAGATGGATTCTAAGTTTTTGAAAAACCAGAAGTTCTCAAAAAGGCACAATTTGAGTACAGCTAAACAGCGTCTCCGTGCCCAGGAAAGGAAGGCCAAAGCCAAGAAATAATGTAATAATTTGACTTAAATTACATTTAATTATAAAAACACAGTTATTGGTTATTGATTTGTCCTTGCCCTTTGACAACATCACTGACACATTGCCAATTCCCTTGCAAGTTTTGTTTCCACAGCGTGATTTTATTATCGCCCCCTGAAACGGCCAAAATATTCCCATTTAGAGACCAACTGACATTCCAGACAACATCATCGAAGGTTTGGAGCACAGTCGAGTTCCAATTAGCCCCATCGTCGCTGCTCCAAATAATAACCCTCCTGTCTTGCGAGCAGCTCGCGATGGTGTGTTGGTGGAGCCCCACCGACGGGGCCCACGCCACATCCCGCACCCAGTCCGAGTGCACCTCCAACTTGTTCTCCTCCACCCACCGGTCCTCCTCCTCCCGCCACACCTTGACCAAGTTATCGCAGCCCCCCGACACCAGTCTCTTGACCAGCTTGGCGGAGTCCCTGTCCGACATGGGGGTGATCGCGGGGGCCCAACTTACGGCGTTGCACCCAATCGCGTGAGCGTTTTGTATTTTCTTCGCGTCCCAATTATGCGTATCTGCGATGTAGCTCAACACAGAGATGGAGCCGTCGCTGCTGCCACATGCCAACACTAACCCGTACTCCGGGGGGGCGAATTGCACCGAATTCACGCTCGAATCGTGGTTGGCGTACTCGTAGTATTTAGTAAACTTCCCGTTTTGTTCCTTCCAAATTATCACTTTCCGGTCGTATGAACACGATGCTAGGAGGTTGCCAAACTTGGGGTGACTCCACGCTATCTGCCACACAGGCCCGAAGTGCCCTTTGAGGTCGTCGAGAAGGGCTGTGCCCCCATTTTTAATGTCGTACACTTTCACGCTGTTGTCGGAGGAACAAGTGGCCAGACGCAGCCCATAATAGTCCACTTCGGCATCATGGACCATGTCCTCGTGCCCCGTATCAATAGAATTCAAAATTGAGACCATTTTTTCAATTTAGAAACAAGACGTGGCCACTGACATTTGACACCTGTCACTTGTCACAGAATCACCAACATACTCTAGTCATGTCTAAATTAATTCATCTTCCGATTATTTGACCACACTATAATCCAAATATCAATTCTAATGAAAATTAACACTAATTTCTTTGAAATAAATAATAATTCCTAGTAGAGATTAAAAAAACCGTAAAGTTCTTCACAAACCTAACAAAACGAAAGTTACTATAACTAGTAACAAAAAAAAGGGTCGAAGGGTGTCAAGTTGACTTTTGCATTTTCTGCTCAATTTCCTCCAAGGTACGTGAAATTTCGTCCCTAAACCACTCTCTTGTAAACACTTGTCTCGAAATTAGCGCGTGGTGGTATCAATTATGTAATTTTTGTCCGATTACATAACACCTAACCTAACTTTTCAGATGTTGTCTTCTCGCCTTTTGGACAACATTCACCGGTCAATCCGCAGTTCGGTCCACTCACGCAACCTCGGGATCCTTGCCCCCTGTCTCCAGAAAGCCTCCGACCCCATTCAACAACTCTTCATTGAAAAAATCAAAGAGTACAAACAGAAAAGTGGAGGGTAAGTTTGCCCTTAAACCCCCTTTTCTTTTTTCATTAATTGTGACTAAAAGTGGCAACAAATTGGTGGAGCCCTCGCCCGAGATTGAACGCGAGCTGAAATCCGAGTTGGAGAAGGTGGCTAAGGTTTATGGGGGCGGTCCTGGAGTCGACATGACCAAATTCCCCACATTCAAATTCACCGATCCTGTGATTGACCCCATCAACATGGAGAAATAAATTCGTGTAAATTAGTCGTTATTAATAAACAATTACAAAATTAAAAACTTGTTTTATTCACACTTAAACCAACTTCAGGATCTGTTCAGTATTTTCCTGCAAAGCTGACATGTTGAAAGTTTCAGCAAGGTGCTGAAACGTTTCAATCAATTTCAGTAAATCGCTCCGCGAGATTAAACATTTGAATTCACCCGCGCATTGACAACGAAAAATCAAATTTTCGAGTTTAATTTGGGCGCATTTTTTGCATTGTAAGTCTTGCAAATTGTACGCGAGAAATTTTTTATTAATTGTATCGAGCAAAAACAGCTCCATTTCGGCGTTATCATAGGGGGCTGTGCACAAGGGGCACACCCATGCCGTCTCTGATCGATACGCGTCCCGCCCTAAATCAATATCTCTGCAATGATTACAAGCCTTGCAAATAATCTGGGGAATCACATAAGACACCGAAGTGTCCCTCCATTCGGCCTTTTCCGAAAACTCCCCCACCCCAACAAGTCGCAATAAGTTGGCCTTGAGATGCATTACAGTTTCCTTCATTACCGAGTCAAGGCCCAGGACCTGGCAAATGGCCTTGATGAATTCCAGGGCCGGACTGGTGCCGTCCGGAAGGGGTTTAAGGCGATTGTTGATCCGTTCAGTGACCCTACAAAACAATTGAGTTAATTGGTGGATGAGTCGAGTTGAATCGGGGATTTACTGGAATAGTTTTTGGGTGATTTCCCCCGAAAGGATGTCTTTTGCGTATTGTGCGACATCTTCGTTGGCTCCGATTCCAAACGAGGGTTGGCTTAAAACAGCCCTTGCGATTCTATTTTCGGTTTGTTTCATTTTGGTATAGATGGCGTTGATGTAGCCGGCGATTACGGCGTTGAAGCTGGCCCGACAGCCCCCTGTTTCGGGGAGGCGCTCCGCCAGGTTCCAATTCATGACAACGGTCGGCTGAAAATATGAAAAATTTCATTAAAATTAGTGTTTTTTTTCATTCTTAACGTTGGCACCACTAGCATCCATGGTGATTTTAATAATAGAAGTTGGCAGCTCCAGTTTTTGATTTGAATTGAAAACCATGTCAGCAAAAAATTAGGAAAAAAATTTAGAGACAAATCAATAAAAATAAAAAAAGTTACAATTTTGAAACTAAACTGTAAGAAAAATAAAAAAAATAAAATAAAAATAACTTCATTTTGGTGACTTTTCGGCTTTTCTTACTCAAAAACGAGCTAAATTGAGCAAAACAGATCCAACACATGTCATTTTCGATATAATTTAGTGATTTTTAGGTTTGTTTTGAGAAAATTTTGCAAAATGAATTAGTTTCATCACTGAATCTAGTGAAACCGGCTAAAATAACATGAATTTCAACTAATTTGGTGATTTTTCGGTTATGTAGGCCAAATCTTATGAAAAAACTAATTTTTTACTTAAAAATGTGCTAAAGTAAATGCTCGAAAAAAGTAAAAATACCATCCTTTTTATGAGCAAAAATTTGCGAAAAAGTACAGTTCTGGCACAAAAACGTTGGTGATTCTTTGAAAAGTAAAAAATAATTTTATTTTCAATACATTTAGGTGACTTTCGGTTATTGTAACAAAATCTTTCTCAAAAACGAGCTAAATAAAGCAAAATAATCAAAAATAAGATATTTTTCTCCCTAATTTCGTAATTTTTCTTATAAAAGAAACTAAGATTTTACCTAAAAATGTGCTTAAACACTCCAAAAAAAAAACAAAGTTAACACCGTTTATGACATAATTTCGCAATTTTTTAGTTTTTTTGAGCAAAAATTTAAGAAGAAAAGAGCGTTTCTGACAAAAATACGTTCTTAATTCATTGAAAAACCCAAAAATAACTTCATTTTCGATACATCTGTTTGTTTTGGAAAATCTTGCTCAAAAAGGAGCCAAATGAAGCAAAATAATGAAAAATTTAATTTGGTTTGTTTTAAGGAAATTTTGCAAAATAAAATGTTACTCAAAAATGAGCTAAAACAAACAAAATAGTCCCAACAAATGTCATTTTCGATCTAATTTAGTAATTTTTATGTTTGAGAAAATTTTGCAAAATATATTAGTTTCAGCCCCAAAAACGAACTGAATCGAGCGAAACAGGCAAAAATAACATAAAATTCAATCTAATTTAGTAATTCTTCGGTCTATGTTGGTCAAATTTTATGAAAAACAACTAAGTTTTTACTCAAAAATGTGTAAAAATGAGTAAAAATAACACCGATTTTAACTTAATTTCTCGATTTTTTTTACTTTTATAAGCAAAAAAAAGTGCGTTTCTGACAAAAAAACATTCTTGACTCTGCGAAAGAGCTAAAAATAACTTACTATTTGAAACATTTCACCGACTTTCGGTTTATTTTGGCAAAATCTTGCTCACACACGAGCTAAATGAAGCAAAATGATAAAAAATAACGTCATTTTCTATCAATTTCGTGATTTTTCGGTTTCTATTGGCTAAATCTTATAAAAAAAAAAGTTTTTGCTAAAAAATGTGCTTAAACCCTCCGTTTTTGACTTAATTTCGCGATTTTTTAGCTTCTTTTGAGCAAAAATTTTAAAAAAAGAGCGTTTCTGACAGAAAAACGTTCTTGACTCAGTGAAAAAGCTAAAAATAACTTCATTTTCAATACATTTCTGTTTATTTTGGAAAAATCTTGCTCAAAGACGAGCCAAATAAAAGGAAATAATTAAAATACCGCATTTTCCATCTAATTTGAAAAGTTTTAAATTTGTTTTAAGAAAAAAAATTGCAAAATAAATGAGTTTCAGCCCCAAAAACAAACTGAAAAAGCACTAAAAAAAGGTTTTTGTTTTATTTTAATGAATATGTCAAACAGTCTTAACGTTGGCACGCACCACTAGCAAATTGGCAATTCTGGTTTCTGATTTAATTTGAAAACAATTAATTAAACGTCAGAAAAAAAAACTCAAAATTTTTTTTAACTTTGATACCACTAGTAAATTCATTCAAGTATTCGATCATAACGCTTTCAAAGAGCAAACAGGGACCCAAAATTCATAAAAGTCAAAATTTTGACATTTCAATTCGTGACTATGGAGATAAGATACTACCAATTTTTTCACCAAAATTTTGACTTGGTGATTTCCATTAAAAAACAGACTTGATGTATTTTGATGTGAATAATTTAATTCATATGGAGCAGCAATGTCAGTGTAAATGGTTGTGACAAAAAAATCTATTGGCAACACTGAATTTCTGTGATATCAGATTGTTTCACGTGACGGCAAAGCCAATAGTTGCCCGTCAAAAATAAATGACAATTAACTATAAAATTATGACATTTGAATTTGACAGTCAATGTTGCCAAATTAAGATAACAAATTTGGTTACCTCATCATCATCTTGCCCTTGATTTTCCTCCTCTGTGAGATTCTCCGGTAACTTTCCTTGAATCCCAGCAAAATTCGCCAAATCCAACCACACCAAACACTCCCAACACTGTCTAAACGTAATCTCCAACGAATGAAACAATTCTTTATTCCGAATCGAAGTCACCACAAACTCAACATTCGCCAAAGCATCCTCGACACACCTCTTCTTCGAACAAATAACAATCTTATTAAAATTCGCATAGATAATCGTACATCCGAGTCGCTTAAACTCTGCCACAAGTTGCAAGAACAACTTCTTCATCAAATTCTGCAACGTTCGCAACAATGCGGGATCATAGAGTAGGGCTTTGGGCGACCTCAACCACCGATAGAAATGAACAACTTGAAAATCGGCGAAAACATTCCGATACAACGAAATATCCCGCATCCAAGTGCTCGCCATAGCCCTCAACACCTTGAAGGCTTCAGCACATCGGGCCGTTTCGTCATAAACCGTCGAATTATCCCCAACTAAATCCTCCAATGAGGTGGCTGTGGCCGCATCGAAGGCCGTCGCAGCACTAGTGCCCTCAATATCGGTCACGTGATGCGACTGCAGGAGCGTATTAATCGCCAAACTGTCAATATCCAACTCGACACAAACACTCGAGTACCACCCTGGAATATTGCACACCTCACTTGAGCCCTCTTGATTCTCGGCCAATAATCGCGAATCGTTCTCTTCGACGCCCCCCAAATCGGGCTTGTCTTGTGGGGAGCACCACAAAACGTGGTTGTGTTTGGTTAAGTGGCGGGCGTAGAAGAGGTCGCAGCCGAAGGGGGCCGGATCGGGGGGCATGTTCCCCACCGGGAGGTGGAAATAGCGACTTTGTTCGATCATTAAATCGAGGACTTTTTCGCTGTTGAGGTAGTGACGGATGAGGGCACGTGCGCCGACTTGTTGCCAGTCTAACACGTTGTAGAGGTCCTCCAGGTCTTGCACGTGGATTTGCACCTGGGGGAAGTCGGAGAATGAGGGGATGTGTGAACGTAAAGTTGGGGTTTCAAGGGATGATTGGATGGCAAGGAGGGTTGGACCACGTTTTTCGTCTTTGTACAGTTGGAGGGCCTTTTGGAGGGTTTTGTACACGTGGTGGAGGTCGGTCTCGATGCGGATCTCGAAGGTGAGGGTGTCGGGTGGGAGAGAGTCATCTTCACAGCCGTTTTCCTTCCTGGAAATTATTTTAAATGAAGTTTTTGAGCTAAAGATTCAATTATTTTGTTTAATTTTCTCAAAAATGAGTCAGAAAACCTTCAAATTTGGTTACAAAATAGTTTTATTTGAGTTTTTTTTTAATGAAATTTCAATAAAAAAGATGGAAAAACCGCTGAATTGAGTTGAAAATGGTAATTTTCCAGTGTTTTAGCACATTTTTCAGCTACAAACGCAAAATTACGGTAAAACAACCCAAAAATTTACCAAATTAGCCCAAAAGTAGTGTGATTTTTTTCCTTCTTCAAACAAGCACCTAAAATCTCAAGTTTTTGCGAGATTTCACTATAAAACAAACCGAAAAACCCCAAGTTACGTTGAAAATCATATTATTTTTGCCTTTTTTGTGCGTTTTAACATATTTTACATCCAAAAATCGAAAAACTATGCCAAAAATGGTGATACTTTTGTCTTTCTCTGGCGTTATTGTCGAAAAATGTGGCTAAAAAAATACCAAATTATATTTAAATTAAATTTATTTTGGCTTGTTTTGCTCGATTTAATCCATTTTTGAAATAGAACCTCAATTATTTTGCAAAATCCTGTCAAA